GGGTTTCTGGACTAGCTGCAGGAATTGGGGGGGTGGGGGATTCTCCAGCCAGGCCTGACGGGGTCCTGGTCCCTTCGGCCTTAACGGCGAAGGGGACACCCCTCAGCATCTCATCTCTGAGCTCTCACAGTGCAGCAGCATGGCCCCCAGGGATCCCTACTCCCCCCCCATCATCTGGGCACCACAGGGCTGGAGGGAGGGCGGGCGGGGGTGTGGCTCAGCACCTCACAGATAAATCATCTCCCCCCCCCTTCCTCCGGCCAGCGGAGCAGTGAGCTGGGCACAGACTGGCCCTTAGGTTCCCGGTGCTCTCCAGCAGGTGGCGCTGTGAGCCTGGAGGCCAGCTGGGGGGTGCCCTGAGACCCACTGCCCTGCGCAGCTCAGGGGGTGGGCAGGGAGCTAGGGGCAGTGGGTGCGTTTCACACCTGGCATGGGAGCCTGCTCCTGGCAGGGCCCGGAGGGGGCAGCCTGAGGGCCTGGGCCCAAGCTACCGGAGTGGGGCAAAGGGGGCTGGCAGCTCAGATGCATTGCAGACAGGCACTGATGCCCTCGGGCCGCCCTGTGCCCAGGAAGCGGGCTCTGCAGGAATACTGGGAAACTGGGGTGCAGGGGAATTGGGGTCCTGCCTGGGAGGAGCAGGCAGCACGGCTGCTCCCTGCAGAGCAGGGGGAGACACTCAGTGGGCCGGGACTGCCCCCAATAATTGCTCTGCTCCCTCAGACCACTGAGGGTCTCAGCAGACATGGCTGGGGGGCTTGGGGCTGACGGAGGTGTGTCCCCTTCACACCTGCCCTCTGGCTAGGGTGGCCAAGCCGGCCCCTTTGGGCCCGATTCCCTAAGAGTACGTCTGCACAAAGGAATGCAAATGCAGCCGAGCAAAATTGCAAATGAAGCGCAGATTTGAATTTCCTGCGCTTCATTTGCATAATTGCGTCCAGTCTCTATTTCAAAGTACCCTATTTCAAAATAAAAAAATGCTGTGTAGCCGCGGTTATTTTGAAAGAACCCCCTTCTTTCGAAATAACCCTTCCTCCTAAAAAAATGAGGTTTAACAGTTATTTCGAGGGGTTCTTTCAAAATAACCGCGGCTACACAGCGGTTTTTTATTTTGAAATAGGGTACTTTGAAATAGAGACTGGACGCAATTATGCAAATGAAGCGCAGGAAATTCAAATCTGCGCTTCATTTGCAATTTTGCTCGGCTGCATTTGCATTCCTTTCTCAACGGAGGAACGCAGTGTAGACATACCCTTAGACAGTATTGGCATTCAACTCGCCTAATCCTGGAGGTGCCTAATATCCCTAAGTATGAATGTTTCTGCTGTTAAAGTCCTCAGTCTGCCTAAATTTCAATAGCTGAGCATAAGCATGGCTATTTCAGTCCTGACCAGCAGCTCTGCATCTCTCATACCTAAGATCCAGCAGGATCCTCAAACTAGGCAGTCCCCTGCCTATTTTGCCTGCAGGACCCAATCCAGTAGGTGTTCTCAGAGCATATCTAATCCACACAAAAGATCTGAGAGTCATAGAGACTGTCTTTCGTATAATCTTTAGAAGCCCAGTGGTGAGGGTACGCACCTGGGACACGGGAGATACTACTTCAATCCCCCATAGCCTCATATGGAGCATCTCCAAGTGCCGTCCACAAAAGCTAGCACTCTAGGCTAGGAGTTGCCTACACTAGCTCAGAGGTGATGCTGAAAAGAGGGATGTGTCTTAAGCCCCACCCCATCAGGGAATTAGGTATTTTATTCCCAGTTGAAAAAAGACAACTATCTCCTCTTGATATTCAGAGTTGGGAACTCTCTTCTCTCAGGGCTTAAGCTGTTTCTTGCACCCTCCCTCCCTCCACCCCACATACTCTACACAAAATGGCTATAGGAGGGGGACTCCTTCTTCAGTTTAGTATGTTAGGGCATTCACCCAGGATGTGTGGTGCCCTGGGAGGGTTCCCTACTCTACCTGATGAGGAGTCAGAATTTGAGTATTGATCTCCTGGCTCTCAGGTGAATACCCTAAGCAACAGACTGTGGAAGATT